CTAAGTGCACAGGAGTGGGAGTTGGTGTGTGGAGTGTGTAGATGTGGGCTGGGAGGTTGAACAGCTTGTCAAGGCCTCTGCACCTGAGGTTGTGCCTCCCATCACGGCAGCTCTCCCTGGGTAAGTGTCATCTGCACAGCAGGACAAGTGAGAATTGCAGGGGGGGTTTGTATCCACTTGTATCTTTGTCTGGATTGATTTGGATGCACACCAGTTGTTTTCAGGGAAGCATTTGGAGTGTGGGCTGAAGTCTATCAGCCACTGCACGGCCTGTGTCCTCAAATGCAGCTGGAGAAGAACCTGAGGAACTTCACTTCACCTTAGAATGAGCACTGTGACTCTTCCCACCTAAATCCTTTTGTGATTCTTAGTCACTTAGGTAGAGTTTCTTTTAATTTTTCTTTTGCTGTGATTGGACTTTGTTTCTGTTGCTGAGTTTGGTTCCTGGTAGAAAAGTTTCTATCCAGAGATGCATTTTCTTACAGCCTGTCCATGCTGTTTGGAGCCATGTGCAGATGAAGCTCTGCTGTTCGTGCTACCCTTAGAGATGGGTGGGAAAGAGGCAGCAGCAAAGTGCAGTGAAGGGGAGAGGGTTTCAGGGAGGGAAAGGAAGAGAAAGTCTCAGGTGATGGATCCAGAGCAGAAGCGATGAGCTTTGAGGATGGCTTGTGTCCAGTTACCATCAGACCTCAGCAAGACAGGAACTATGAAAAATGAAAGGAGACATTAAGTCAGCACTGTGGACTGCAAGAGCCCAGGCTGAGTCACTGTACCCTAGAAAAGAGGATTACAGAATCCCATTTGGAAAAAAAAGCAAGAAACTGGTAAACATATTATCTAGGGCCCTGTTGGAGACTGGGGCCAGGAGGAAGGAGTAGAAACTTCCATCCCTTGCTGTGATGCTGCTGGGGAACTCCTGGAGTTCTGTGCTGGGCCTGGCACTTCCCTGGGTGACAGGCTGGGGTGGCAGGTCTTTAGTGTCTGTGCTTTGTTTGTGTGGCTACAACGAGGCTCTGCTTCTGTCTGGTTTATTTATAACACAGAGGTCACTGTTTCAGTCTGTCCATAAATAAATTGTGTGGCTGGCAAAGGTGACAGTGGATGCACAGATTTTAGTTGGGGTCAACTGCACAATGCTGTGGAGCTGTATTGAAGAAAGGGCTTTAATGTCACCTTCCTCTTGAGCAAAAAAAAAAAACCCAAACAAACAAAAAGTCTGTTAGGTATTGGTGACAAAGATAAAAGTTATTACAGTTTTTGTCATTTCCTTTCTTGGTTGTCCTTTCTGCAAATGCACATTCCTGTTGGAGAAATGTGTTCCACTAGGCAAAGAGCATTTAAGGCTGATTTTTTTTTACAGTAAGAAACTGTTTATTTCCAAGGAATTCCCACAGAATTTTCCCTCATATGCCTTCCTTAATTTTCTTTTTCACAAAAAGTTATAATTAACTTCCTGTTGTGGTTCACATCCAGGTATGCCCATCCCAGAGAATTAGCTTGCACGGTTGTTCCAGGGAACAGGATCCTCTAGAGCTAGTTGCTGCTTGTTGTTTTCTCTTTGTGCTGTAGACAGCTCATTTCTGACATAAGAAGGAAGAAGGCAAAGTTCATATATTCTGTTTCTCTTCCTGAGATAGAATCTGAAAAGAAGTCATCCATGAGAAGTGTTTCTACCGTGTTTGGCTTGGACTGGGCAGGAGTTAGTGAGTCAGTGTTGCTGAGAAGGTCAGCTGCAAACTGGGGCAAATTGGGTTGAAGCTTAGCAGAATTCCCTGTAGTTCTCCTATAGTTGTCTGAACTTTTGGCATGTGTGGTGGTCGTGGATCAGAAATTAATGTCTTGCGTGAGCTGGTTCTGGGTGTTGCTGGCTTTGGCAGTATCTGGAGGAAAGTGAGCTGCTGTTCTTTCTTGGGAGGTGGAGGCCAGGGCAGAACAGATGAGTTGTGTTACAGGATGGTCGGCTCAGGTCTTGTGCCACGTTGGGATGTACGTGGTGTGCAGGAGAGGAGGAAAATGGCACAGTGCTGTTGTGGTCTACTTTGAGGCTTTCTGATCATCTTCCAAGGAAAGAAAAACACAATGTTATCATTCCCTGGTACTCTAGGGGAAGGACACATGCTGTTCAAGTGGAGAGTCCGTGTCCTTGGAAAGAAGGTCTTGGTTTGTGGAGCTGTTTGTTAACATTGACTCATCTCTCCTAGCTGCTCAGAGTGCTGGCAGCAGGGAGGGCACGTGTGTGCTGAGAAGGTCAGGGAGCAATAAACCTGTTTGTGAGCAGTGGGGCTTCAAGCAAACCGCGTTCAGTCCTATTATAGAAGTCAAGTGGCTGCAGTCAGCACCTCGTTGTCTGTTCCAGCTTTGCATTGTTTGTATGAATATGGTGCTGTGAGAGACTGGCAGGGATTTCCCCTCTGCTGGGATCTAGAAGGGAAAACTACTGGGCAGAGTTGGGTCCTGGCTGGCAAAGCCTCTGGGCAGGCAGGGTGGGAGGCAGGTGATGAAAGCAGAAGGACTTGTGTCATTTTCTGTTGAAGAATGGCTAAGGGAACAGGGGCACAGCTCCCAGAGAGCATTGTGCAAGCAAGAGTCGAGCAAAGGTCTATGGGAGCTTTGAGCATATAACCATGAAGTAGGCCTCAGGAATTTAGCTTCTCAGCATTAGAATTTATTTTCTCAGCATAATGTTGCAGCCCAAGGACAAGCTATCTGGGAAAACTCAGCAATGTTGCAAGCCCAAGGATGAACTATCCGGGAAAACAAAGAAGGATTCTCCAGAGAATAAAGGAGACTTCTTCACAGCTGCAACTGCAAGCAGAAAAAAGTATATAAATGTACCTTTTAGAGCTTAGGTAATGCTAAGCAATGAATAGGTGCATTTATCGTGTACCATATAAGAGAAGAACAGAGCTAACAATGACGTAGGAGCTTGCTTTATCACTCACACTGAGTCGGCCGCTTGCTTCCCTGCACGGAATTTCCCTGCAAGTGGTGTGTGTGAGTTCTCCAAGTCAGATCACTGACCTGGGGCTGTGTGCTCCCTCCCCAGACACACGGCCTGTCCAGGCTTTGCTTCTGTTTCTCCACTGAGCAAAGTGAAAAAGGCAGCCAGGAGAAGGGCTGTGTGCTGTGAGCCCAGCGAGCTGTGCTCCCAGGGTGAGTGCCCAGCTTCCCTCAGCCAACATCTTGGGTCACCTGCTCCTTGTCAGACTGTGGGGCACAGCCACCAGGGCTGCTGCTTCCCTGTGCCACAGCCCTGAGAGCCAGCAATGCTTTGAGCCCCACACCTGGTTCTCTTTGGGCTCCAGCATCACTCAGGGTCAGACACGAAGGTGTGCAGTGTGAGAGAGTAGGAAAAGTCAAGGAAGTTGGGCGGGAGAAAAGGTGGTATTCAGGCTTGTTCTCCAGAGGTTGAGAGCTATGTGAAGGACTCTGAACACCAGCATTGATACACAGCAATGTTGAAGACTGAAAGTGATCCTCAGCTGTTCCTGGAGGAACACTTAGAGAATCCAAAGCTCCAAGGTAATATGTTCTGTGCAGAGCAGTTAAAGACAAAAGTGTCCCTAGGCTGGCACGTGTACCAGCGTTCCTGCTCTGAAAAGGGACAGGTCGTGGGAGGAGAGAGGTCCTCCTGTTTAAGGCAAGAGCAGTGAAGAAAGGGTGTGATGGGGAGGGAAAGCATCCAGCTCTTGTTTCACAGCTCTCTGAGGAATGTTTTACAAACTGCAGGTGAAACAGGGCTTAAGGAAGTGTTTGCAATTCTCACTTTACCTCCCTGAAAGCAAATCCATGGTGAGTTGGGGGATTTGTTAAAAAAGAGTCCCAAATTTATGGAAAATAATAAGACAAAGAGTTTAGTCAGCTCATCATATACATTCTTCTGTATTTAGTGAGCTCAGACTTGGCTGCTTTATCCTAAAACCGTTGTGTTTTGATACGGTTAGAATAAACAAACTGAAAGTCACAGCTGTATTTACTTGACTGTTGCCTTACAAGCCTTATCACATATGTTGTTACATTAATAACTCTTGCATTGAACTGTTGTGTAATGGGAAAGCTTATTGCCTTTTCTCAAGGAAGAGGATCTTCCTGGGGAGGCAGGGAATTCGTCATCCCTCAGCATTCCAGCAGCTGAATTCTGCTGCTTGTCAGAATCTGGAAAACATTCCCTCCCATGTCCAAGTTACCTGGTGTAGGATCTCATTCTGTGCTTAAACACAAGTGCTGCCCACGATGAGAACAGGGATGTAGAGCTAGACCTGAGAGGTTGGAGAGGTGATCCAGGGGGGAATCACTGCATCAGCTGTTGGTTGTTGCAGACAGGAGAGGGGTGAAGAGGCACTGTGTGGTGCCTCGTGGCACTGTGCTGGCTGCCCGACTGCTGATGGGGGCATTGACCTACCAGTTCTCAGTACCCAGGACAAAGGCATGTCTTGGGCTGCTGAAGCTGGGCACAGAACAAGAGGCTCCCTGGAACTGAGCAGCCAGACTGCAGACTCTCCTTGCTGTACCTGAGAGCAGTGCTCTGGCACAAGTGTGCTCCCAACATCACTGGTACCAGTGCAGGTGTGCTCACATGTGAGGCAGCATGTTTGTGGGGGGTGCTCTGCTGCTAGGGGAAACACCAGCGAGCACATCCTTTGCTGTTTCTGGGGCAGAGTGACAACACAGAGACCAGCATGAGAAGAAATAGCATTGTCCTTGGCTGTGGTGCTGCTGAATTGCATCTCTCATGCTCTCCTGTGCCTCAATACTGTGTCATCCTCCACAGCTGCATCCAGCAACACCTAAAAGCAGGTGTGACATAGTCTAAATTTGCAGTGCTTCATATTGCAGAAATTTCTAACTGGCCACTTAGGATTTTAAAAACGTATTAGGTGTGCTATAATGTAATTGTTGATGGGCTTCAAGTTTGTCTCGATCTCTGGAAGCACAGCCTGTCTTACTCTGCTCCATGTGCCATGCTGTTAAACAGTATTTGCTGTTCCTTATGTTTTCAGGTTCAAAGCAAACAAGAGAAGAAGCCTGGAAGTTCCTCCCCAGCCTCTCGAAACCCTGCGGTTAGCCCTTGCACTCTCCTGCCTGTGAATAAAGCTGCCAGCAGTACCCCCTTGTCCATCAACATTCCACGTTTCTACTTCCCTAAAGGACTTCCCAGTGTCTGCACTAATCATGAAGAAATCATTGCCAGGATTGAAGAAGCCTTTAGAGAGTTTGAAGCTGAGAAAGCAAACATATGTGAAATGGGGAAAATTGCTAAGGTAACTATTGAACATCTTGGAGGTCTTTTCCAGCTTTGATTCTGTGATTCTGTTCTCAGGGGTTTTAATTTCGGGAGAGAAAGTCTGAAACTAAAACGAAGTATTGTGGCTGTTCTCATGGCTTAATGAAAAAAGAACTCTTATCCTGCTCTGAATTTCTTTGTTTAGATTGAGATAACAGTACACAAAAAAGAGCTCTCTTGCCTGTTTGTCACATCAGATGTGTGTGCTCTTTCCTGCTGTGATTTCAGAAGTGATTCTCCCAGATTCCTCAGCAAATCCGAATTGCATTTTTGGGTTTCTGTTCATCCATAGTTCTGCTAAGAAAAGGGCAGGAGCTCTGTGCCTCTGCAGGTAGTGCCATCTGCTGCCTTTGTGGCTAGCTCTGCTGCCCCACGGGCATGAGCTGTGGCTGCTGCCGCAGTGGTGCGTGAGAAAACAGTCTCCAACCTACACCTCCTGGACAGGAAGAGGGTAGTGCTCAGCCAGCCCTCAGCCCGAGGTGTGTGTGTTCAGGAGCCACAAGGCAAGTGGCACTGGCTGCTAATGAGTGTGGCTTCAGGGAACAGCACACAGCAGTTGTGTGGGAGCACAGTGCAGATGGTTGGTGCTATTTTCCTCCTTCAGCCACTGTTTTTGGTACTGCTGATCTAAAAGGAGCAGTTGTCAGACACACCACGTACGTTCCGTGTGCCCTGAGTGCATCTCTGGCATTGCAAACTGAGCAGTGATGTTCTTTCCACGAGGAGCACTTGTCTTCCAAGCGGGAAGGTTTTCCTGAAAGGAAAAGGAGACTAGGTTGGCTTTGTTTGCTTTTCGAGGAATCAGTCATGTTGTTTGTAAACCTGCTCTGAAAATATAAGTAGAGAAACTTCTTTGCATGACCAAAAATGGTTTGAAACTGATTTTATGACAGGACAGGCAACTGTGTGTGGCCTGCCCTGTTCAAACTGGGAAAAGCGGGAGGGTGATGTAGAAGAGACCTCTGCCCTTCTGTCTGGTCTCTGCATCTGTCTTTCCAAGGATGTGTTCCATGCATGGCTTGTGGTCCGTGGGGTTGTTGAGAGTAGTGGCATTTGGGGGCCTGAAAGAAATGCTTCAGAACCAGCTGCACAAAGAAAGCAGCAGAAAGCAAAGGTCATTCTTTGCTCAGAGGAGCTAAGCACCTGCACAGAAGCACAGTTGCCTGACATAGGGATGGCTAAATCCAAAAGCAGTTCCTGGGCCCAGACAAGAAGTTGAGAATGGACTTCTGCTTAACAGGAGAGGTGAAACAGGCTTTGTGGGGAACGCAGAAATGGTGATTCAGCTACTTCTTCAAACTATTCCTCTTGCTTCCATTTGGTAAGATATCCTTTCCCATGCCTGAATCAGCTGCACTCCCTCCAGAGCTGGTGTTAGTGGCTGTCCTGGTGCTGTGTCTGGACTGTATGGCTAGAATTGGGGTTCCCATGCTGTTGGTGGGAAGTTGCCCATACAAGACTGGGTCACCTTTTCTGGGGTAGGTCTTGAGGCAGCTGGTGTGGGAGGAGGTGTCTGTCTCTCTCCACTGCACTTGGTAGGGAATTTTGCTAAGCAGGTCAAAGACAGCTGAGGAGCTTGAGAGTCCCTGATCCTTTTCCTAGCCTGACAGTACGTGTTTTTCAGCCTCCTGAAAGGGCACATGGCAAAGTAGAAAGTCATTGGTGAGTTCTCAGCCCTGGCACACAGTAAATGAAACACAGACTAAAGAGCCATTGCCTCTTTATTTCCCTTATGTGAAGTCTCAGTGGTGAATTTGGTGTGTAAATGAGCAGGTTCCTCTTGGGACTGCTGTGTACTCTCCTTGTTCTGGTGTTTGTTCCAGATCTGTGGCTGCCCACTCTACTGGAAAGCACCTCTGTTCAGTGCCTCAGGAGGAGAGGGGACAGGATGTGTATCTGTGCAATCCTTTGTGTCCATGTGGAGAAAGTGAGTATCACAATGACAAATTCTTGTTCTGGGGAAAGAGGTCAGCCTGCCAATAGAAGGGGTTTTTGTTTGGTTGGTTTTCTTTTTCTTCTTTTCTTCTCTCCCACCAGATTTTTCAAATAATTCTCTCTTCTTCAGAAAAAAAATAAATAATTTCAAAATCTCCATCAGCTTAAATTTTCTTCCCCAAAACTCCTTAAACACTGATTTCCATGTGGCATCAACCATCTTGGGAACAATTATGTAGATAATGAGATGTTTTGGTCTGGTTGGCGCATAAAATATATGAACAGTCTCCCCAGAAATATGTCAACTGTTAGAGACAGCTGAGAGATGTCTGTGGACTTTGAGTGTATTTATCCCAGGCCTTACTGGTGCACTGGGAGTGCCATATGGGAACTGGGAGAGGAGGAGTGTGATAGTGTTGCAGAACAGGAAGAAGGAATGTCCAAGCATTGTCATTCCAGTGGGAGCTTCAGTGGTTCTGGTGTTCCTCAGCACCTGCAGGATCCGTGTGGGGTTTGGCAGTCACTTCCACGTGCTGTAGTCAGAGCTGCTCTGTTGAACTGAGAGCTCTGCATGCTCTGTGCATGGAGTTGGAGGGCTGAGATGGAACAGGCTTGATTTCCTGCCTAATCTTTTTCCCTCCAGGGCAATTCAGGCTCAAGTCTACTTTGTGGAACACCTGAACCACATCTCCATCTCGTCTCCAGAGAGAGTTCTAATTTTCTTCTTATTGGTTGCTCTTCACATTCTTGAAGCAGCCTTTAACCCTGAATTCCCAAAGCATTTCCTGTGATGATGTTGTCATAACAGCTTCTAGTCACCCTGGCAAAGTTGCAAAAATGTTAGGGGTGACTGTGAGCACCAAGTTTGTCCTGACACAGACAACATATTTTCCTTCCTTAGGTTCCTTCAGTTACTCCTAATGAGTCCCCCATGGATGACACCACATTTTCACCCCTATGATTTTCACATCCTTTAGATATTTGCAGACTGTGGTCATGTCCCTCTTCTGTATTCTTTTAACCACCCCATTTCCAAGCCAAGTTTTGGATGCTTTGTTCACTGTAATTGCTCTTTCAGAAAGACTCTCCCCCCCCCCAGTTACAAAATCTTTGCTGGAAACCTGAAAGACAGAAAGAAATGTAGTGTTCCTGGTAAAGGCTGCAGCGTGTGAGCACAGGTGTAACTGTAGGACAGGTATCTGTAGCTGCTTAGGCTGTTTGCAAACATCTTAGGCTGACCTGACTCTTCAAAATGTCGTATGCTTACTGAACTCATCAAGTCTGTAGGAATTGCTGAGTATAAAATACTTCTGAATATCATATCTTTTAGTTTGTTGCTAAAACATGGGTCCGGAATTCATCTTTCTGTGCCAGATTGTTTTTAGCACCTCTTTCTGCAGCTGGTGCAGAATACACTGCTGATTGACAGTTACCATGATATCAGTGTGCAGCCAGCAGGATTGTTTGTCAGCCACTAAATCTTTTTTTTTTCTTATTTAAAACCCCCTGGTTTTGGTAAAGTCGACTTCTGGTAGAGTGGTGAGGCCAGTTAGTGTGGTCTCTGCAGGAGAGCTACAGGCACTTCAGTACTGTGTTGCAGTGTAAGCTCCTACACCACTGGGAGAGAAGGGGCTGAATAATCCCTCCTAGCAAACAGGCAATGCATTTGTTCTTTCAGTTATGGCAGAATACAGGGCCATTACTCTGAGTGATTGATTTCCCTCATACTGTTCCCTTGTGTGAACAGCTTTGGGTCTGACATATCCAGATGTTCTCTTCTGTTACAGGTATTCAGTAAGTGTCATGGAGTTTCCCTTTTCATGAGTATTTCTGTCCAGAGTGCACTAAGTGACTGTGATACCCCTGACCAGTGCAGTGGTTTGTGTGAGGAGAAAGCAGAGAGAACAGTCAGTGTCACAGATGCAAACTGTCAACCTAAGGAATGAGTTTACAGCTCCTCTGAACACTGAATCCTGCTGATGCTTTCAGTAGGTTGCTCCCCATGACTGCAGTGCCCAGCACCCAGCTGGGCCAGAATTAACCAGGGATGTTTCTTTTCCTTCTGGACAGTCTTTCTTCCAGTTGAACATTCAGCTGTGTAGTTTGGCAATATCCTCAAGTATTGAAGTATAGTGAAGGGTCACACTGGAGAGTGTTTCTTGTGGCACCCGATTAGATGAGTCCTGTTGTCTTCAGATGTGATCAGTGAGTGTGCAGCATCTGGAAAAGTCAGGTTACTTACTGAGCAGCTCTGGAATCCAAGGCAGAACAGTCTCCAGTAGGAAACCTGGTTTACCACAGCAGTGTCAACAGGGACAAAAGCTCTGTGGGGTAGAAGTCCCTTGGTGCTGCTGAAACATGTTGAAGGCAAAGGGTGCTGTAGTCTGAGGTCACCTCCTGCAGAATTCAGAGGGTAGGTGTATGTCTACTGTGTGGTACAGCCCTGTGGAATGCCTTGTGAGGCACACAGTGGTTGGAGCCATCCCTCCCCTCTCTCCTAGAATCCTGCGGAACTGCCACGACGATGTGTCCAGGTTCATGTCCCTCCTGGCCAAGCCTGGCTGTGACTACCTGCAGCAGGAAGACTTCATCCCACTGCTCCAGGTACCTGCACAGCTCAGCAGGGGATGGGTGGGGACAGGTCTGTGGTTATTTTGCTGCTCCTTCATTTCCATGTCTGTGAGTGTTTCCCAGGGACAAGCAGACTGTGATGTGAGAGCACCTGGGGGGCTTTGCTTTGCAGTGGCATAGCAAGAAGCATTTCAAATGGGCTCCTTTGCCTAAGTGCCAAGCAGCTGCAGATCTTGCTGGAGCCACTGAGGGTTGTCAAAGCTGTGTGTAGGCCATGTCAGGGTCTGTGTCAGTGCCTGGTAACCAGGCTGAAATCTGCCCCATTTCTCCACATGGATATGGGGAAAATGCATGGTGCTCTTCGTGCTCAAGCACAACATAAAAGCTTATTGGCAAAGCTGTAAAGGTTGTTTGGCAAGGCAATTCTAGTTGAGTTTGCCTGGCAAGACTACCAGATAGTGTCACGTGGAAATCTTGGCAACATTTCCATGGTCCCAACTGCTCTCTGTGTATGTGCCTCTAAACCTGCTAGTGCTCAGGTCTCACTGCTTGCTTGTTGTCTTCGTAATGCTCAGGCTAAATCTGTGCATCCTGACTCAGTTTCTTTCTTTTCCTTTTATTCAGATGTGATGTCTTGAACAAAGTGTCATTGTTTAGTTATTTGTGCCTGTTAAGGCAGGCTCTGGGTAGGTTCAGAGATTTTTCTAGTCCTTTGTAACTCGGGTCTATCTGTTCCTCTGATCATCTGTTGCTTCTTTTTCTGATCTCTTCCACCCTAGATTTCCTAGATTTCCCTAGAAATCCCTAGATTTCTCACACTGTGTTGCCCTCTGGGCAAAACCTCTGCGGAGATGCTGCTTTGGGGAAAGATTTTGTCTCTGCACTGGATGTCTCTGTCTCTCAGACAAAAATGGGGCTGTGATGGGTAAATCCTCTCATGTTCATCTTTTCTCCACTGGGCACACTGCCTTTCCTGTCTGATTGCAGCTCTGCTTTTCAGCTCCTGGTGCAATCAGAGACGTGTACACTCTTGTCATGCAACCAGAGACTGGCAAAGTTACACCACGTTACATCATCACGTTAGACACAGTGTCAGACTGCCCAGTTTGGTCAGATCACACTCTGAGGGCACCATGGTGTGGTACAGGCAGAGCTGAACTTGGAACACTAAAGGGTACAGGAGTCAGCCACGGAGAGATTAGAGGCATTGATTCCTGCAGGATCTGAACTGATTCATTCAGGATCTGAGCAGGTTCTCCACCTATCTGATCATGCAGATTTGGCACCACAGGCAGTGTCTGACTTAGGAAAACTTGATCTTCAGAAGGAGGCATCTCCACATGTAGTCCAAGTACATTTTGGAAAAGCATTAGTCATATCTGCCACCAATCTGAGGCTCACAGAGCTTTCTTTGTGGTGGAGGCCAGAGAAGGTGACTTTCTCAGGAAATGTTCATTTCTGACACTTAGCTCTAATGAGTGTTAATATCTGCAAGGAATGGAAGGAAAAGAGAGAGAGTTGCATGGTCAGCTAACTGATTTTTGTCTCCTTCAATGACAATGAGTTTTCATCCACTCACTAACTCTCTTCCTTTGTTTTTCTATCCTTAAGTAAATCACAATGGCCCAACAGGTGCGTATTGCCCAGTGGATGTGTTGTGCTTGTAATTCCAGAAGGTTCACTTGACACATTGGTTAAAAGCTGTTGTTTTGGTTTTATTGATAGTGCTGCAAGTGCAGTTTCAAAAGTAAGCAAAAGTGTTACTTTGTAAAACCCAGCAGCTGGAGAAGAAAACAGAGTTCATTTTCATTCCTCTTGTCTTGCAGGATGTGGTGGAAACACATCCTGGCCTGACGTTCCTGAAGGATGCTCCGGAGTTCCACTCGCGGTACATTACAACGGTAGGCCTGGCTGCTTTCATCTGCTCTCCCTGGGTGACCTGCCATTGTTCTCATCAGGGGCTCATCCAGTTTAAGAACATGAGTTGCTAATGAGTTACTTTCAGAACTGCTTCCAAGGGGCAAATGACTCTGTCTGTGTGTACAAAGGGTTATTCAAAAGGTGATTCTTTCTGGTCTTAAGCAATTCTAGATATAACACTTTTTGTCCTGTAACTCTGGTGATGGAAAAAGAGAGGTCCTTTGGGCTTTGAGAGCTGCTGAGTTACTCTGAGTTGTGCTGGGCTGCTGAGACCTGGAAGGCTTTTGGAAGATTTCTGTCACTTGAGATGGAATTTGTGACTGTTCTCCAGTACAAAGCATCCATTGCACACCAGCATCTACCTTCCAGCTCTGCTTGCAGAGAGCTCTGCTGGGCTTTCCATGTCTCTGAGCTGCTGTGGCTGCTGTTTGGTGTTGGGTTGTTCCACAGCCTTGTTCCAGCCCTGCAGTCAGCAGTTAGGCTGCTGCTTTACCTCAGGAAGTTTGGAAATTATTAAGCCTTTAGCTTGTCTCGTGTCGGATGTGAATGTGGATAAAGGATAAGAATGTTAGGACATTTTATCTCTGCAGCAGTACCAGATTCAAATAGTGGCAGACCTGATGGGAGCTGTGTCCCCACAGGGCTCAAGGCTTCAGGTTTCTCCTGTTTGCTTGCCAGGGCTGCGTGGGGCCAGCTGCACCACACAGGCAGCCAGGAGCTTCCTGGCACACACAGGCCTGTTCCTCTGCTGCAAGGAGCAGATGACAGCAAGACACTTGCTCTGGGCAAACCCTGGACTATCACGCTGATGTTTCATGAGTATGTGTAACGAGAACCAGTTCTAAATGTTTTAGATACCTGTGAACATGTGTATCAACATACTTAGTCCCGACGGAGCAAGAAAACAGATACATTAACTGTCCAGAGCAGGTGTAGGAATGGCCAGGGAATTATGGAGGCAGGTGAGTGGGTGAGTGTGGAAGGTGGCTGTGGCAGGAAACAGATGTCTTTGCAGAGTCATCCCCCCACAGTCACCTTGCTGCACTTTCTGGGCCTCATCGGGGTGCAGTGCGTGTCACGGTCTGACACATCAGCTGTGTGAGGCTGAGGTTCCACTTTGAGATAGCTGAAGTGCAACACCTTTTCCTTCCTCTCTTCTCCCCCACAACTTCCCTGGTGCCTGAGCAGGACCTCCAACTGTGTCAGCACTGCAGCACAGGCACAGAACCTGTCCCTTCAGCAGTGCCTGTGTCAGCACTGCGCTCTCTGCTGCACCCTCAGGCACCCTCACAGCACCGGCACAGAGGTGGCTTCCTGGCCTTGCTCCCAGGCTGCCAGGAAGGGTGGTGAGACAGGGGCTATGTAGCAGCAAAGCTGGTGAAGGCAAGCTGTGCCCAGAGTCTGCTCACATGGGCAGGGCAGCACTGCTTCACAGGCTCCTCCTGAGCACGGGGCCCTGGGCCAGCACTGGCTCGGGGCCTGGGGAGGCAGACAGGCTGTCAGGGCTGCTGTGCCCATCCTCAGTGCTCTGCTCTCTGGCACCAGGAGTTCCTGTTTCTCACCTCTCCTCACGCAGACAGTTTGGCACTTGTCCTCTTAACCTTACAAAATCCAGTATTTGCACCAGGAGGGAATGAAGGAAACAGCTCTGTGCTTGGATTTTTGAGGCTACTCGGATCATTTTGATTGCTTCAAGGTACAGTGCCTTATACCTACTTACAGTGACAGAATGCTCTATATTGCTGCCCATGTGAGAATTATAGCTCATTTTTGTGTTACAGATGAGGCCTGAAGAGACATCTCTCTGTTCATTGCTGGATGCAGTATCACTTGGTGGAAATCACCTGGAGAGGGAGCTGACAGTCTAGGATGGGTAAGACTGACCTTTCAATTTGTATTGCCTCCCTTTGCACCTGTCAGAGGTGCCTTCTGGGTATCCCAGGCTGGAATTGTCTGTCAGTCCCTGTGCGGTGGTGATTGCAGTATACTGAACTCCTCGTGTTTGTTTCAACAGAGACTCCTGAAGCTGGTGAAGACATTGCAGAATATCCCGTGGCATTTGTTGTAAGGCTTAATTTAAAGTGTGACTTGTGCCAGAAGGTTCAAACAAGGCTCAGAGATAGCAGTACCTGCTGCTGTTGGAAAGGAGTCAGCTAAAAGCAGCTTGGCACAGCACAGTGCGTGTGGGACAGTGCTTCAGTCTGTGCAGTGTGAATGTGGAAGGGGAGGATGGCTACAGGGGGTAATAAAGCTGTGTGGTTTTTTCCAGAAGTGGTCTTGGCTGTTGTTCTTCCTGGGAACCAAAACCCATCAGTGGTTTGGGTCCTGGAGGTCAAGTGCATGAGGATAATGGGCAAATAGGAAGAGGCTCCTCCTTCCAAAAGCTTATCAGGAGTTGGACTCAGTGATCCTTGTGGGTCCCTCAGGGTGTTCTGTGAGTCTGTGATAATGTGGTGACTTCAGAATAAACTTTCATGCTGGGGAAAAGCAGAGCCAGTTACCACTGTCAGTAAGGTATAGCTGACCAGTGTGGCTCACATGCTGCAAATCATCTCAGGCTGGGCATTTATATTCTAAAGTGTTTCCCAAATGCTTTTCTTGGGCAGTTTTTCTTTTCCAGGCTGTGAAAACCAAAGAGAAATACTGAGATTTTTTGTACTGATATATACACTATGTACTATCCATACATTATTTGGCCATTATTTGGTTAATAAAGTCTGCACTGAGTGACTGGATGAGGTGAAAGAGATGAAAAGAGATCCCGTTTTACCTCTGAATGCCTTATTTTTACAGCTAGGTGAGGAGGGAGCAGATGGAACATCTTTGTCAGTGTGGTCTGATGGAGGAGCAGTTTCATATGTGTCACAAATGGGGATGGTTTGTTGTCTTTTATTACCCTGCAGGCAGAGGAAAAGAAGAGTTCCTGGTATGGGGTCCTTTTTCTGGTCTTTGGGATTGTTATTTCTGAGTTCTTGGAAAGGTGTGAACACCCTGCAGCTTTCAGACTTGCCACAAAGTTGTCAGGTGTGCTAATGGATTATGTATGAGGTGAGACCCACTCCAGTCTCTGAGCTCTTGTGCAATCTGGAAGCAAAAGCCAAACAAAGTCCAAAAATAGAGCCCAGAATGGCAGTGGCTGCCAGAGGCATGAGAGAAGAAACAAACATACAGCTCTCTCATTGTGCTTAAGACCAGAAAAGATCTTTGTGATTACCTAGTCTGACCTCTTATGCTGCACAGGCCACAGAACATTGCTCAGTGGTTGCTACAATTAAGATAGGTTTATTTTTGTAGCTTGTTTCTAACTCAATTGCCACCCACCTTCAGGACATCCACCCTTGGGGCCTGCAGTGTTAGCAGCAAGTGCCATGCTCAGCTCAGTCTGTTAATTCTCTCTCTTTGGGATACACTTCAGGACCTCCAACCATTCTTGTTGCTCTCAAAACTGTGTTCCATCAGCATTCGCTGTCTCACTGGTCCCACAGCAGATGGTTGGGAGCACTCATACCTGGTTCCAGATCTCTTCTGGACTGAGAAGCAGCACTTGTGTGACTGAGTCCAGGCATGGCCCTGCAGTGGTGGTTGCCCACTTGAAGCTAGTTCTGGCTAAGAGGCTAAACCATCCCATTTAATTTCTGAGCTGGATGAACCCCTGTAACGTTATTTTTTTGTTGGAATAGTGTGCAGTAAGGCTTACCCAGATTCTAGGATAATGTGTCAACATCATGTCAGAGACATCAAAGGTTTGTATCAGATGTGGTCAACAGGGATTATGTTCCATAGTGTTGACAGTCACATTAATTCTCTCATTTTTGGTTTCCAGTGCTGATGATGTTTATTTGTTGTTGTTTGCCCTGTTAGGTTTATTCTTGCATGTGCTTGGTAACACTTGTGTTTTCCTTGCTTTGTGCTGATACAAGCTGACAAGGAGTGGACTAGGAGAGGTTCAGCTTGCTTTGTCAGGTGCTTGGCAGTATGCTCAGTCTTGCCCTGAGAACTGTTTCTCTTGGGCTCTCAGGACTCTGTGCATTCCCCCCAGGGATGCTACTCACTTTCACCAGAGGGAGATCAGGAAAGACCAAAGAGGTTAACACCTCCCCAAGATAATTGCAGACAGATAATCTCTATTGCTTGCTTTCAGTGGAGTCACCAGAGGATGAGGCATTGTTGCAGGCACAAAGGGTCAGACATCAACTGTGCCTTACATTTACATGTCTTTTTTCCTCTGCTGAAGTCCTGATGTCTTTTTCTGGTGCAGAACCCTATTTCAGTTGAGATCCATGCAAGCTACAGTGACTAACACCTGAGAAACTGAGTTTCTAAGTGATTCATCAGCACTTTGAACATGTTCCCTGACATAAATAATGCATCTGTGTGCTCAGAGAGGTGAACTAAGAGCAGAGAAAATATTTGCAGAGTGGAAATGGACAGTGCTGGTTCAGAAGCAAATGTTATTTTCAGACTGCATAGTGAGCTAAGCATGTAGTAGGTGCACAAAAAAGAATCACAAAACAGTTCTCAAAAGGAAGTTCCCCTATGCTGAATGAATGCACAAAGTTCCATGTTTAATTCCCGAACTGATGTGTTCCAGGGCTTGGTTTCAAGAGTGCTGTTCATGTGTTGCAGGTTATACAGAGAATATTCTACACAGTCAATCGATCCTGGTCTGGGAAGATCACTCTAACAGAGCTGAGGAAAAGCAACTTCTTGCAAGTATGTTGGTTTCTGTGTCACCAAGATCCTGTGTTCCCTGCTCCCGTGGCTGTGTGGTGAGGGAGCTGGGCCTGGGCTGGGGAGCCGAGCCAGGTGGGGAAAGGGCTGGAGCTCTCTGGGCTGAGAACACCCGGGACTGGAGTGGCCAAGAGTGCCCTGATGGGGGGCAAGGGGTGACTGCACCAGCTCTGAAGCTCCATCACACAGCTTGGCTCCTGGTATGGCCAAGGAGGGAGGGAAGCAGGATGCAGCAGTGCACCCGTGTTGGGTGGCTCACTGAGCAGCCAGCACAGCTGCAGGAGGGGCAGCAGCCCGTGGGCTGGGACAGCCGTATGCTGCCTCCCAGCCAGCCCTCAGCCCCTGGCACCTCGAGGGCTGAGCTCCACAGCCTAGTGCCTGCTCCAGTCCCTCTCACATATCCCTGTGGATTCAGGATTTGGATCTCTGTCCTCTGTATGTTTTACCCAAAAGAGGGCCAGGTTAAAACTGTCTAAGGCTGCTTAAGTCTAGCCCGTGCTTCAGAGCCATAAAGTCTCAAGGCTGAAGGTGAAGGGCTCTCAGAGCCCTGTCCACCCAGCGCCCAGGGAGCTCAGAGCACTGCAACTGCTGAGCTGCCTCTTCATCTAGGCTTAACTTCCCACTTTATTTGTACTCTTTCAGACTCTTGCTCTCTTGGAAGAAGAGGATGACATAAATCAGATCACAGATTATTTCTCCTACGAGCACTTCTATGTAATATACTGTAAATTCTGGGAGCTGGACACTGATCATGATCTTTACATCAGCCAGAAGGATCTGGCTAGGTACAGTGATCAAGGTATGCTGCCTGCAGGCTGTGGTGAGATGACTGGGATTGCTGAAGGTACAGTTACCACCAAAGAGTAATGCCTACTTTGCATTTGGTTAATTTGTTACCTACACCAGTGTTGACTTAGCCACTTGTAGGGGTTTGGACCCAAGGAAATGCAGCACACACTACATTCTGCACGAGTAGCTACAGGTGGAGCTTGTGTCCATGTGTGGGTCACTGCCAGAAGGACAAGCTAAGCTAATGTCCTGGAACTTGCTTATTATTTACTGAGGGTTTTGCAGGAACTAGGACATAGGGACAAGCAGAATGAGCCCATGTGAACCTCAAAGATTGGTGAAGTGCAATCTAGTTACACATGAGAGAAATTCCAGGGTCTAGTGAAGCTTGGGGAATTTCAGCTTGCAGATGCTCTCTGGAGAGTTGAGGTCAATGTGGGACTCCTGTCCACAAGCTGAGCAGATGCTTTGAGTTTTCTGAGGTTCAGGGGCCATGGATAAGTTAATGGAATACTGGGGTGGGGTCAGCTCTCTGGGAGGGTGAGCTCAGTGTGCCCAGGACTGGTACCTGCTGCTTGGCTCACACGTTTCCTGGTGGCAAAGCCTCACCTAAATGCTTGTTGCTCGTTGTCCTTCCCTGCAGCAGGGTTGCCACAGCCTGTGCTCTGCTACGAAGTGTTTTCTAGGCATTTAATGTGTCATTTTTGCTTGGTAACTGAACTTCTTTTGCAATGCACACTGAGAGAGCCTCCCATCAGCAGGGTTTGCCTATGTGACAAATCCTACTGCAGCAAAGTAGGAGTAACACTGCCCATGCCCAAGGATGCAGGTAACAGTTACCATCTTTGTAGGATAATGTGGTGCTTGGGAGGATACAAAAGCAGAAACACTGGGAGAATCATCTCTGATTTTTACAAAATGCTGCTAAACAGAGGCCAAAAAAGTGGTTAGGCACTGTAGGTAGAGCATTCTTTTAGCAGTGGGAAATGGCTTCCTGTGGACTCGGCATCAACAACTGGTCTGTAGTTATTCCTGTGACCTGTAGCTTCATTTTCTCCATGTTTTCTTTGTTTCCAGCTTTATCAAACAGGATCATTGAGCGAATATTCAGTGGCGCCGTGGTGAGGTGAGGAATAGCAAACTGCTCAGGGATGGGAGGGAAGGGAACTTCTGTCAGGCTGATGAGAAATGCCAGTTACTCTCAGAAATCCCCAGAATGGCTTCCAACAGGTTGCTACAGTTGGAGCTGCCTGGAAATGGGGTGAGACTTCTCTTTCCCCATAGGATGACCAGCCACCTCTAGACCTCAAGCTGAGCGTAACCAGGGGTAACATGTGTGTTTGTGCGCCATAGTGACACAGGGATAGCTGGAGAGCACTGCTCTCAAGCCTCCTAAGAGAGCCCAGCCCTTGCTGTGGGAGGGGATGTGGTAGATGAGCCTCAGCCCTGTGGTGAGAGCCAGGCAGTGAACGCTGTGCCTGGTGGTGCAGGGACTACAGGCTGCACGGGTGATGATGCCCTGTTTTTTCTCACTAACGTTTTGGAGCTTTCAGAAAGTGTGTTTGATGACCTTGTGAGTGCTTAGGAGCCTGGTGATTTGTAATTTATTTTCCTGACCTGTCTTCTAGAGGCACTGAAGTGCAAAAGGAAGGTCGCATGAGTTACGCTGATTTCGTGTGGCTCCTGATTTCAGAGGAAGACAAAAGGAGTGCTACAAGGTCTGACTGATTCCTGTGTCTTAATAAAAGTATTGAGATGAGCACATAAGGTATAGAAACTTCTGTGACCTTCTGCTTTCTACAAGGGTTACTTTTTCTTTAGGAAAAAAGCAACTTACTGTTGAGGTTTGGCCGAACCATTTGCCTTTCTTGAGGAGAAATTGTGTAGAAGCAGAGTTTTCTTGTGATGCTAAATGTCTTGGTAGTCATCAGTGCCTTTGGTTCCCTGTGCCATGAGGCACTGGCTCTGAGGACAAACCCCTGAGGTGTTGGCAGGAGTTAGGCTCATTCCCTTCACGTGTGTAAGAAGTTAGGGAAACTTCACCGTGCCACTTTAAAACCTGCCCATGGCCTTGTTTATACAGCCAGTGGAGACTGTTGTGCAGAGCTGATCCAGATCTGCATGTGATAGTTAGGCCAAGGAATCTTACAAATAGAAATGAGAAAAATTCATGAGTGCAGGGCTGGCCCACCCAGAGGTGAAGGGAGGATGCAGAGTGCAGTGCCTGAGGGCATTTCCTGCTCTGTAAAGGAGCAGAGGAACTGGGTGCACTCCATGCCTGCTCACCCTCAGCAGGGCCATGCAGGGGCTGTGAGTGTCCTGGCTCAGAGTGGTTGTCTTTGGCAGCTCTTGCTGCTGAGTCAGACAGGGACACCCTAACCTGTGTGAGCCTGTTGGGCTGAGCACTGTGGGCACTTGCTACAGCTCCCAGGTGAAGCAGCTTCTGAGCATGGCTGTGCTCACAAGCCACCTAGGAGACTAACAGGGGGAGCTTTAGTGTTGGCCTGTGCCCTGACGCTTCCTAAAGGGTCTCTTCACCCCTAGTGTGTGCCAGCCTTTGGCAGCCTTAGGGGTAAGAGAAGGGGAACGTGCATTGCTGCAGTCCCTGCAGCATGGATTGCCTAGTGCAGTGCTGAGCTCTCACTGTCCCTGTCCCTCTCCAGCATTGAGTACTGGTTCCGGTGCATGGACCTGGATGGGGATGGAGTGCTGTCCATGTACGAGCTGGAGTACTTCTACGAGGAGCAGTGTGAGCGGATGGAGGTGATGGGCATAGAGCCACTGCCATTCCAGGACTTGCTGTGTCAGATGCTTGATCTTGTTAAGCCAGAGAGGGAAGGTAAGTCCTGTTTAATGGGAGTTCCCATCCTGTTTGGTCTATGGTGGCTTGAGAAAGTAATGTCACTGTGAAACCCGTCAGTGAGGAGAGTCTTATGGTAGAGCCACAGGGCTGAAAGTACTGCACGAGGTCAAAGCCTGAACAGTGCCTGTTGTGCCAGAGTGCTATGCACCAGGAGGTTTGAAATACTAAAGCAAGAGACTTTGTGAGTTAACTTGCTTTCACTGGAGCAACAAACCTTGTGTATTCCAGCTGTGGGATGTGCTGACAGTCCAAATTATGAAACTGGACCATCATTCTGTCATGCTTCACATGAATGTGAAGCACCTCCATATGTCTGTGAGATTGAAGCCTAATAAATATATCCATACACTGAATAATTTTTAAATCCTTGGCTGACTTGGGAATTAACACCATTGTATATGTCATACATGGCCATACCTATCTTGTAACTAATGGCAAGGAACAGTTCCAGGCTAAGTAAGAACTCAGCAGCACAGTCATGTTGGTTTTTTTCTGTAGGAAGAGTAACCCTGCGAGACCTGAAGAGGTGCAGAATGGCTCATGTGTTCTACAACACCTTCTTCAATTTAGAGAAGTACCTGGACAATGAACAGAGAGATCCCTTTGCAATGCAGAAGGTACAAATCACCTCTATTTCTAAATACAGGCCTTCTCAAACCCATTTGTGGAATGCTTCTGGATGTAGGGAGAATCCAGCTGAGTGGAAGAGCACTTGTTCACAACAGACCAGTTAAACAGAACCAGAGAGACCTTTACAGCACAGGGGCCAAGGCAGATTGTACCTGGTTGTCAGCCTGGCTGCACTGTCCTGCATCATCCTCTCTTCCCAAGCAGAGAAAATTCCGGGGGAGAGTGTGGCTTCTGGATTTTGCAGTTGTTGCTCCCCACAAACTGGGATGTTGAGAGACTTGAGCTTTGCCAGCTGCTGGTGTGAAGGCCTTAACTCCTGGCTCCCCTTGCACAGCCAGGGACACCAGATGTGACTTCAGTTTATTGACTGCCTCCCAGAAGCCTCTAATCTGCTCAAATACAGTAATGTGGAGGGAATGCCAAAACCAACTCTGGTTCCCTCACAGCCGTTCCCACATAATCTCCAAGAGAAACTTTGTGGTTCCATGATTCAAGGATTAAATATATCCCAAGCCAGAACCACTCTGTTTGTTTGTTTGTTTGTTTGTTTGTTTGTTTGTTTAAACTGGATCATCATAAGAGCAGTTGAGTGGGGCCAAATGTTTGTGGGATGTTATCCTGTAATCCTCTCTCAAACTTGCCCAAGCTTAGCAAACTATTCCTCAAAAGATCAGTTCCAATTAACACATAATGAAGAGACATTTAAAGTTCTTCAGCCATTTGCAAAGTGCACAGATGCCGGGTGTGCTGAGCTTCAGCAGAGAAAGGTGTGGTTACTGCTGTTCAGCACCTCTGAAATGAAGCAGGCTCAGTGTGTGGGCAGCTCAGGTCATGCTCTGAGCCTTATAGACTCTGAGATGTATTTTTTTCATAGTCCTTTATGTGCAGATGTGAAAAGAGCTTAAGACAGTTGTGAATTTCTCAGTTAAGGTACTTTGTGACTGGCTGTTTCTATCCAGCTGCTCACTATTCCTAGAATTGCTGTTCCACATGCCTAGACCTCTAGTAAACAGCTTAGAGAGGTATGGGCATTGTGTGCTTGACTGTTTGATCTCCTCAGGACCTCGACAGCGACGGCCCTGAGCCCTCGGAGTGGGACAGATATGCAGCTGAGGAGTATGAGATCCTGGTGGCCGAGGAGTCTGGGAATGAGCAGCTGCAGGAAGGGTAAGCACATCCCTGGCACTGCCCTGGGACACACTGTTTGCCTCCAGCTGGGGTCCAGTAGGAGCATGTGGATAGCACTCATAACAGAGGGAATGGATTAGTGAAGTAATCATTTGGACTTGCCACTGGAGCATGTGGAGCCTGGAACAGTTGCTCCAGTTGGACAGGCAGCACTGGTGCAGGGCTCTGTGGGCAGCTGTGTGAGTCAGTGACACACTAGTGAAGATAGCTGGGGAAAAGGACAAAGCATTTTCCTTTGGTAACCAAACACAAAAAGGTACCAAGTGACTTTTGGTAGCCTTGGCCATGTATTGACCATGTCACATGATCACAGATTAGAAGCTGTAGCTCTGTTACACTTATTATTCCTAGCAGAGACTTCCTTTAGTCAAGGGATTTTACTTTCTGCCAAACCTTCTGCCTGTTAGCTTGTGCTCTTCATAAGCTGTATTTAAGCTTTTCCATTCATTTACCAAGTTTGTTGAGACTTTTTCTTTAAAACACTTGGTTTCTGCAATACCTACTCTCATTTTTGCAACCTTCTGTAAAATTCTGGACAGACACTCCAGCCATCTTGAGTCAGTGAGTACAGGCAGAGCAGCTGCTCCAGAACCTCTGTGTGTGCAAGGGCATCCTGCAGAAGCTCCTAATGGAAACTCAGTAGAACTGTCTTTTAGATCTGTGTTCTGTACCTTCTTGAGAATGTTTCCCTGGAAGACTCCAGATTAACATAACAAGCATCCAGAGAATCTTGTGTGATTCAGGATTGCATCCATTCTGGAGCAGTGTTTGTAGAGCCATGAGAATACTGAGAAGATTGCATCATTTTCAAAACTTCCCACACTGGAAATTGCTTGGGATAACAGTAGCACCTATTAATTAGCCACAGAGATTTGCAAAGCTATTGAGAGCTGTTGCCCTCTCTGCCTGTGATGTGCATCCAAACAGCTATGGGCTGTTCCCTCATCCCCTCAGAGCTGCCTTGCCTTTCTCTGGCCTGCACAATGGGAGATGAGGTAACTCAGGATGGAAGATGAAACTGCTGTATTCTCTGCAGCTGCTTTGCAACACCTGTGCCCTCATCACAGAAGAGGAACAGGAGGCTGTCAGTAGTGCTTTGCAGGACCGTGGTCCCCCAAACTCACCAGAACCCAGAGGAAAAGTGGCAGGTGATGTCAGATTGGCGAAGTTTGTCTGAGGCAACTCTGTGTCTTCTTGTAAAGAGCATGTCAGCAACCTTGCTGCTTGCTTTTAAGAGCCCCTGAAAAGCTCTGTAGTCATGGCAGCAGGATTAGATCTCATTTGTGGAGCATAGCAACAGACCACGCAGAAAAAAGGGAGGGAGAAGGAAAAACAAAGAGCTGGGTGCCCAGACAAATTTGCCAGAAAGCAGCCTTTGAGTTTTTGCACATACATTATTTCTGTTGTCCTTAGAGGATGACAGAAACAGGGAGTGGGGATAAACTCAAGACAATTCATGAGCTCTGAGAGACCAGAGGATTTTTGGCTGAGTTAGCTGGCAGAGGACGAAATCTGGGCTTTGTCTTAGTAATATACTTGAAAACAACCATCAGTCAGCAATCACAGATGAATTAGTGTGTCCCACATTGGTAATGAGCCCTGTCCCTGCCTCCCTCGAAGGAAGTCCCTAAAACCAGACAGTGTCTGGCTGGCAGGCTGCAGGCTTGCCCAGGAGAGAGCTCTCTGCTCCTGGAAGGGGAATCTCATCACGACAGTGGATGCTTGTGGTGACTTCAAGGATGCTGTGACTCCATGGAGAGCTACAGTCATCAAAAATCAGAGGAAGGTGTTGTCTTGCTGGAGACAACAAGCACCACATTTCACTGGAAGCTTCAGCTGATCTGAACACTTCTTAGCCACGCTCTGCCCTGTGATCTGTGTGAAGAGTCTGTCCCTGGTGAATGCACACACACACTGCTCTCTGAAGGCAGCACCAACAGCTGGACGTGGCCACCACAAGCCCTTAGTGCAGGTATTAGCCTTGGTTTTGCAGCAGGCTCCTCTGGAAACAGACATAAGGTTAGTCCATGAGCAAAAGGCAACTGAAAAGAAACAATAATGCAGCTCCAAGTGCTGGTGACTGTGCAAGGTAAACAACACAGGGAAGAGGTCACATTCCATGTGTAGGAGCAAAAGGAAGAAAGCTGACAGAAGTTGGTAAAATTGAAGGAAAAGAGGACACAAAAGGAACATTGCTAAGAACAGCATTCAAATGGAATGAAAAGTTTTCCTCAACTGCATCATCTTACACCAAGGGGGCTTGATTCTGTGATTGTATGAAGGAGAGACAGAGAAGCTGAGGCAGGGACAAACATGCCCAGCCTATCCTGGCTGGGGGAGGCAGGGCCACACAGCCCCCCACAGGAGCCACTGGCACAGAGGAGGTGCAAACTGCATTTTTTTGGCCACTTTGCATGCATGGTCAGAACAGTTACTGCTGTAGAATCCAGACCGTTGTTTCCCTCCTCCCACTTGTGCAAGAATCCAGAAGGTGGCAGAATTACTAAGCAGGTGCTTTCTTTTACAGAGGAGAGGATGGAAATGTGGTCCAGGAAGGTGTCTGTGCTGTGTGTCTCCTCACACAGGGCTCACCCAGCTGCAGCACAGCATCCTCCCCATGGCAGGGCAGACCCTGACAGGCTCCCAGGGATCTGCTCTGTCTGCTTATGGGTTAGCAAAGGGAGAAGGAGCACAGGAAGTGGGAGACAGTTCTTTCTTGGCACCATCCTTGCTGGGGTGTCACAGGAGTTTGCCTTTTTTGCAGCCTAGGCTACCACTGAACACACTAGAGCTGTTCCTGTGCTTGCCATTGGAACACCTGCTCCAACATTGCCTTTGTGAGCAGCTTTGCTTTCAGGACAAAAGGAACAATTTGACTTCCTTGAGAGCCCTGAAAAACTGACCTGCAGTGTGCTGAGGCTGAAGGGAAACGTGTTATAAACATCATTTCTCAGGAAGAGGAATGGGTTGAAAGCCCCAGTGCAGCCTGAGCCAGTGCAGCTGGCTGGAGCTGGGGCCACACAACCAAACCTCCTCAGGCCATACAGGCAAGGGCCTGGATATTAAACTACAGACCAAGTGAGAGAGGAACACGACAGCGTGGCCACAATTGTTCTTCTGTGGGTGTCAAAACACACCTAAGCCAGAAGATGCTTTGGAATCCAGGTGTCCCTGAGCAAGCCTGAGCAAGCAGAGTCTCCTCGGGGGCCTGGGGTGCATGGCAGGATGACTTTACTTCCACACTGAGCTGTTAAGGCTTCTGGGAGCTACTGACAGTGATTACTGAACTGGATTCACACTTGCTCATGCTGAACGCCTGTGAAGGTTTGCTCTGGAACTGACAGACTGGATGGATGGGAGCAGAGTCATGTCAGCTGTCAGAGTGCTGATCACTGCCACCCTGTCCCCAGTGCCTTACAAACCTCCTCCTCGAGGCTCACCCCCTGCATGCGACTGTACTTTAGCCAGCTGGTTTAGTAGCCACTCAAATAACCTGCCCGAAAGCCAAAACACAGGTTTTTAAAGACATCCCTTTTGTCTTTGCAGATCATGTGAAGAAGACTATTACACAGATGAAGTCTTATCTCCCTCTGAAACTGGAGACAAGTCAGACAAACTAGTGATCTCAGATCTCTCAGGATAGAGAATGGGAAGACATTTCACCCCTGTCTCAAGCTGGATCGTGTTCAGTCCCAGGACACTTAGGGACTCTCCTTAAGTCCATCATTGGAACAATGTGCTTTATTTTGTACACTGTAACCTGAGAACCCTTTTCTCCCCCTGTGTAATTGCAATAAGGTCATTTCTATAAAAGGCTTTTTACAACCTGCCATCGTGCACACTCCTTGAAAACGGTGGTTGCACCTTGTTCCGTTTCTGAGTGGATCCTGCTCTGTCCCCTGATGTGCAATAAATGCCAGCATCAGTGCTCACCTGGAACAGCTGCATGCAGCATCTCCCGTGTTCATTTCTCAGTCAGTTCTGGCCTGTGCCACTCTGCTCTTCACTTTATACCAGGAGTGACAAAAGAGCTGCCAAATTAACTTAAATGTCCAGCTGGACACCTTTTAAAGCACAAGCCACAATGAAGTTCTCTCTTTTTCTTCATGTCCTGGAAACCAAGGCTCTGTGCCTGTGTGAGGGGAGTGTGAAGTCCCTTTGTGCTTTGAACCACAATCTCTCACACTCTTCAGTGGACATGTTTCCCTTGTATGAGTCTGTGGACAGTCAGGGCACTACACGATGTCATGTTTCTCTGAGAGTCTGAGGTACACTTACATTTTTACATCATCTCCTGTGCATAAGAGGATATTCCTCTGGGCAGTGTCTTGTCTTCATAGACTTCTATTTTGTAGAAGTGTTTCTGTTCAGCTACTGTGCAGCAGTTCTGTCCACTCCATGTGTTCCCCTGCTCTCCTGTAGCCTTCTGTAGCCTTAGCCTTGTCCAAGAGACTGAGCTGAGATGATGAAGAAAAAAGCCCATCCCTAGCCTAATGTCTTCATTTCCGTTAGCACAGGGATCCTGTAACTGGTAAAGGAGTTTGTCAAAGGAATTATTGCCAAAAATGTGTTTTCCTCCCATGAGGTAAGGCCCAGCCTGAGAGAGGAAATGCTGTAACTAATGACTTCTTGCTTTAAGAGCAAAATTAAACTGACCTTGCCCCTGGAATCACAACTGGTGTCTGTAGTAAGGCACACACTGCTGGAGCTGTGCCTCCCTGCCCACTAGTAGCTGTCTGTGATTCAGTAGAGGTGATGATAACATTCCTTGCCAATCGTCAGTTTTAGCCCTCACAGATACACAAACAGACCTGTCCTTCCCTTTCAGCCTGGGACAGGTTTCAGCTCTCATAGTTTAACTACCATAATTGTGCCCAGAAATGTGGTGCTTGATTGTTCTGTGTGCACTGTACTTCTGCTACCTCACTGCAAGGACATCAAGCTGTGCCTCCTGTGTGCATCCCTGCCAGAATTCCTGAGGGA